CACTCACCTCCCCTGTCCTGGATGATGGTTTCTCCACCAAACGGAACCATTTTCACAGCAGAATCGCCTTGAGGCTCAACTCGGAACACAGGGTCGAGAGCAAACTCATCCTCATTGAAATTCCACCCACTAATCCTTCTGTGCTTAGCCCTCTGCCTCGCTGAGCTACCTTCATCATCTTCCTCTTCATCCTCATCATCCTCAGAATTAATACCCTTCTCCTTCATCAGCTCACCCAAAGCCCTGGTTTTCTTGAACCTTTCCTCAACGCTAGGCAAACCCAGAAGCACATTCTTCACCAGAAAATCCAAGCCCCTGCAATTCTTGAAAAACGAGTGCCTCAGCAACCTCTCCGCAGTGGGCCTCTTGTTCGGGTCCTGATCAAGACAACAACCCACCAAGTCCTTAAAGGCCTTAGAGAACTTCTTGCTCTTGTAATTCTTGTTGTGATGATTTTCATAATCCGAAAACCGGAACCTCTTCGTGATCTTCAAAAGCAGAGACTTTGAAGGAGGCAAGTTAGACAGGGGAGGCCCCCCATGAGCCAATTCCAGAGCTGTGATACCAAAAGACCACACATCCGCCTTGCATCCGTACCCGTTGTTCGAGTGTATCACCTCAGGCGCCATCCAATACGGCGTCCCAGCAACGTCGTTTAACCGAATCGAAGACTCTCCACTCAAATTGGCCTCATAAACAGAAGCAGAAACCCCAAAGTCTGCAACTTTAACCGACCCATTGAAGTCAATCAAGATATTACCAGCCTTGATGTCTCTGTGGAGGTGCCCCTGGTCATGAAGATACGACATGGCGTTCAGTGTCTCCCTGAGGACGAAGGCAATGCAGGGCTCAAGTAGGCCGTCGGGGAAAGCAGAGGAGATTATGGATTGGAGAGACCCGGCGGACATGAACGGCATGACGACCCAAAGATGACGGTCCACAGTGAAAGAACAATGGGCGCTCAGGATATTGGGGTGTGAAAGAAGAGAGAGTGTCCTGGTTTCATTTAGAATGTTGTCGAAATCAGCCCCGGATTGATCGAGATCGATGGACTTGATTGCCACGATTGTGTTGTTCATCGGCAAACAGATGGCTTTGTAAACAACAGCGCTTACGCCGAAGCCAATTTCATCGAGGATTTGGTACGCAGTTGAGTCCAATGGGAATTGGACTTTCTTGGGTTCTGGGTTTTCTTGGTGAGAAGAAGAAGTCGACATTGGAGAAGAAAAAAAGCAGAGATCTTGATGAACTGAAATGGGTTTTTTCTGAATTCTGGGAAGTGGTTATGAGGAGAAAAAGAAAAGTTGGGGTTTAAGCAGAAATCTTGTGAAAGGTTGACGATGCATGTTGAGTGTTGAACTGCTCTGCTTTTAGCCTTTTAGCATTCAAGAGTTGGGGGATTAAAACGAAGTTACTGCATGTAATTGCCATGTCAGCATTTTCTTGGGAATCTCGATTGAGTGATAGATGCAGATTCTTCTTGTCCTTGGATGCAGATCCTGAATAGAAGAGAGTTGAGGCTCGTGAGGTTTATGGAACCGGTGTGGGACCAGCCTAAGACCCTCCGATGCTAAAGTTAGTTTGTTTTCTAAGAGCCCTCGCTGTTGACAATATATTAGTATAAAGGTCAAGCTGGAAAGTCTTACCCCTGTATTGTAGTGAAGGGGCCTATTTATAGAGGGCATCTTGTATGCTCTTAGTACTTAATTTCGATATGGGACTCGTGGGAGGGCCCTATGAGGTCGACACGAGTCTTTAGATATTTCGGGCGGGTGCTTCGAGGTTGATTCTGCAGAATCGGTAGGAGATACCGATTGTAGTCTATGTTGGGCCTGTAGCGACCTTTTGCTAACTTGAGACAATATCATCGGTAGCCGATGCTGATTGTTCGGAGCCATGGGCACTTGGGTAAGCTTCTAAGATCCACGTGTCGTTGTATGAGCGGAGGGTCAGATATGGTACAAACAATTAGTAATACGTTTGATGTTATCATAATTAGTAATACGTTTGTCATAATTAAAATATAAAAAAAAAAAAAAACAAATCATACATTTGTCAGAATTGACGAATATTACATCTCTTAAAAATGTATTATGGTCATGGAGAGGCATCCTATATAATGTAATGTTGCTGTCCAGCCGAAATATATTGGGCTTAAATTATGTTGAGTTTACGCTAGGCAAGGTCCAACCCAAACTTGTTGGGCTTAGCTCTGGTCATTATCAAACATAATTATTGGTGAAATTTCTTCCATATTATGGCTCCACTTTATAAAATGCCTAATTTAAAGGCAAAAACAGTAAAATTCTTTAGTGAATGAAAGAAAGGGGTATTGACTTGCAGACTAGTGGTAGTAGGTTCAAATCTTTATGACATCATAATAGTGTGTGTAATAAACCCTCTCCTGCAGTTTAGACTATCGCTCGTACTTGAAAAAGAAAAGAAAATAACTTTGACTTGCAGAGCAATGGTTTTAGGTTTGAACCATCTTGACACCTTAGTAGTGTGTGTGTAAGAAACCCCCTTATATTAAAAAATAATAATAAGAACAATAAAAGCATACAAACTATATTATTAACTCAGAAAAATGGAAATATCATGGACACCGGCCATGTCCCTATTGGCCTTGCTACATGAAAATAATAGAACCGAAAAAATAGAAAATCAAGGAAATTACAGCAGAGAGTAATGTGACTGATGGTGGAATGCGACCCCTGTCTTTCCTTATCAGCATCCCTTCAACGATAGGGTAGTTCATCAAAATGACATAAAAGGGTATGAAAACTTGTATGAAAAATTTGTCCAACTCCCCCAAAAAGATGACTCTAGAAATCCCAACTGCAAAGGAAGCCATGTTCAAGATCACCAGAGCAGTCATTGGAGCAAGAAATAATATTGATGTTTGGAAATCAAACACCCCCATATTGTAACGCTTGAGTTGGTCAACATCGTCAACTTTGTTGGTTAGGCAGAAATTGGCTTCTCTCATACCAATTTTCTTCATGAAGCCATCCACACTGCCATATAAATCAGATATAACTGACTTCATCATCCATATCCTTTGCTCATTTATCCAATGTCGAAATGTAAATCCCGTTGAGAGAACCTCGTATAAATGTTTTGAAATCAACGATAGGAATACGAACGAAAATACGATGAAGTATGAATTTGAGACCTGCAAATCCAAGAACAAGACCAATATGTATTAGGATATTGCATGACACTAAATCAAATTGAAGATTTTATGACGAGAATTATTTTTTTATGAGGGCGGTAGAATAGAATGGATGACTATATTATGAGATTGTCAGACTGTGTATGTGATCCACACACTCAATCAAGAATAAACCTACATGAAAAATGATCTCAATATTCACGGATGTAGTGGTTATTGCCCTCTAAATGAGCATAGATACATGTCCCTACTTATAATTGTTCGTGTCAGTTAGTATAGGAATGTGTATATGTGCCTAATTAGGGGCTAATAACAACTAAACATTCATAACTATTGAGGCTTTTGCATGGTGTCAATAGTTCACATTCGCGGTCTTTATTGTTAGATAGCATGACAAAATATAGATTTTTTTTTAAATTATACTCAAGAATTTTCTTAAAGATAAGTACTCTTTATATTGAATCATTTGCGCTAAAGATATTTGACAGGAAGAAGTATATATTTTAAAAAAACTTTAATTACCTCTGGGTACAAAGGAATGCCATTGAGTAGGCAGAGCTGAGGTATGGTGGCAAGGCACCACAATGGCAAATGGAAAATGGGGATAAGAGCCATTTCTGCATAACACATGCTCTGAACGAAAGTGTAAGTTTTCAAAGGTCCATCTAGAACATCAACCATCCCAGAGGTCCATCTAGAACAGTGGACTAAAACGTCATCCAAATTGGTGTAGCTTCTGCCCAAGAACTGTGGCCTTGGTGGATTACAATACACTGAAATCCAACCTTTGCAATGCAAACGAAACCCTGTGACGTAATCTTCCGCCACAGACCCATACATGAAACCAACCTGCCATAAATGAAAGAAAGACTACAATTATTATTAATATTATTAAGTTGAATGATTCAATGGGCATGGTTTTAATAGTATCTGTACTTGCCTCTTCCCCCCATTTGGTGCCATTTTCGAAGGTACAAGAGGCTAGGAGTTGGGCTTCATTTAGCAATGCATTCTTTCTGTGGATGAGCATATCAGGCTTGTTGTTTTGGTGGAGGGATTTGATGAATTCATTGGATGGACCAAAAGATTGTCTAAGTTTCATGGGATCCCCATCTGGAAATTCAATAGTGAAACTAGTAATTAGCTATAGAAACTTGTGATTAATTATAACTTACAAGAAAGAAATATGTACATAGATTAACACAAATATAATGTCTAAAAATATATACTATTAATGAATAAGGCGTTCATGGCTCAAGTGATTAAGAGCAGAGCATTTATCCATGCACTTGATATCCTAGGATAAACTTTTTAGGATAATAACAATTTAATTTTCTTTTTCAAACCACAGCTTTTTCCTCGAAGCAAAGATTAATACAATCAAACTGAAATGATTGACAAAGACAATGACACATATATGCTAGCCAGCTGCAATTACCAAGTCGATCCAAGTAAAACAATACATACAAAAACACACCTTCATGTATGGAGCTTGAACATAAGGCCAACCTCTTCATGTAATAGCCAGTACCATTCACACCTGGCCCTCCAACCCCATCAAAACCTTGCCATTGCAGCTTTGAAAGTAGTCAAGACCAACAAGTCATAAAATTGTCAGATATATTATTGCACATAAAATATATATATATATATATATATATATGATTTTCTTTAATTATATTTAGGGGCTAATTTGTAATTAAATATATTAATTCATGTATAACTAGAGTGAAGTTTTGTCCTTGAATCCATACCCAAAATATCGACCTATGCTGACTGCCATAGATATCATTATTACTGATGTTGTGAAATTTTTGAGGGAATTGAACAAATGCTAGGGAGGGTGATATCTTTGGGTCAAGATGGAAACACATTGCTTGCCGAGCCGAACTTGGATCATGACAATGCATGTCACAATCTAGGCCTAATATGTAAGGAGAATTGCTTATCACACCAGAGACCCGTATCTGAAAAACAATAGTGCACAATATATTAATTTACACATAAATGAATAAATAAATACATGGATATGAGGAAAAATGGTTCACTTGTCAAATAGTCGGGCTTGTATAAATTATGTCATGCTGTCACTTTGGGTCGATGATAAAATAAAATATTAGTTTGAATGTGTGATGCTGGATTGATAGCTTTGGCAATACATAACATACTAGATATTTGATAAAAGAATATTATCGTAGATGCATAAATAGGGGAAGATTAATGAAAGATCGAAAGAGAGAGATACATACAAGAACATTGAGCGCTCCAGCCTTAAAATTATGAGGATGAGAAGGCCTTTTCTCACGAGAAACATAAACAAGGAGAGGCATATTTTTGGTTTCATTTTCTTGAATTGCATCATCACTGGATGTTTCTTGTATAACCTGCCAAATTTCCAGATATGGGTTATGATCATGAATTTGTGTTAGCGATGGGGACATATATTTTCTCCTTTCGTTTTTGTTTTTATTTTTATTTTTTGTTTTTGTTTTTTGTGTCGGTATGGAATGCTTTCTATCTAGCTAGCTGCGTTTATATATATCCATTAGTAAAGGACAAAATAGGAAAATACACACTTGTCGGTTGCCAAACCAAAGAAGAACTTGGAAACTTGGCTTATTGAGTTTGACTCTCGTTTTTCTTTTGAAGCGCTAAAACCTAATGCTTTAATGGTAGGGGTTTGAAAACAATACTCATTGATATTTATTTAGAAGATGTAAAAGTAAAAGATTTCTTTTACAATGATATGATGATGATGATATATATATATATATATATATCAAATGTTAAAATATACCTCAATCACTGCAGGGTGATCTCGACTCAGTCTGCTCCCTGTGTCCCCAACCGTTGCTTTTTCTCTTACTCTTTTCTTGAACGCCTCATATTTCTCCTGCACCCAAATATATTGTCACATATGAGAACTGTTTTCTTGTGTCCTATCAACTATTGATTTTGTATATCATCTCTCTAATAAATCGGTCACAGTTAATTCGAAAATTTCAACTCTCATTCACCTTAATATCTTCTCTGTCTTGAATGAACTCGCTGCCGCCAAAATCAGCATCCTCATCTTCTGCGGAGAAATAAGCCTCCGGAGCCCTGCACTTGATCCCATACCTCCTACAAAATGGAAGCCACCACTTTGCAAATCTCCAAGCCTCTCTCATACCTTTCAAAGTCACAGCAGCACCACCATCATCGGACAGATACACATGAAGTTTCTCTGGCGGATAGTCCATTGCCATGGCAGATAACACAGTGTTCATCACCCCCACAGTGGGTTCCTTCTTCGGATCCGCAGTGCAGATGAACACATCAACACCCGGGAGCTTATCATCGCCAGGCAGCCTCTCCGGGAACGCGGTTCGCGAAACGGTACGCCACCGAAAAGACTGGCTGAGGAGCCACTCGAAGGATAGGACGATTTCCGAGACAAACACAAGAAGCCATGCTAAGGTGGTTGCTTTGGTTTTGGTAGTGTCTTGGAAGAAGAAGAAAGAAGCTCTGTAGTAAAGCAAGAAGACTAAAGCTATAGAGTGGAAGAATATATGTGTCCGGTTGATGAAGATTGATAGCTTGTGGACATGGCAGAGATGAAGGGGGAGCTTAGAAGAACTCTCCATATCTTCTTCTATTGTGCTTGGTATGTGCGTTCTCTCAACGCACACAAGTGTCAACTACCTACACCCTCCACCTCCTTTTAAAGGACCATAACACTGTTTAATTAAATAATTTAAAAAAAATGTAGAGGAATTGAGTGGTGATTAATATATGCCTGAATTATATTCAAGAGAGAAGCTATGGTTCTGGGGTTACAAAAAGTTTAATGGTCCTGGCGGCTGTTGGGTTAACTGTTATTATTATTATTACTATTTAACACAAGGGATAGTCTAAATTAGTTTCTCGCATACATTATCGAGGTGTTATAAGAGTTCAAACATTATATCACTAGTTTTTAAGTCAAAGTCTTTTTCTACTAGTTAGATCCCGTTGACATGGCAAACAATTATTTTAGGAACAAAATGACAAAATATTGACTCATAAATTAAGGTAAAACTAAGTTTTATGAAAATTTAAAAATAAAAATATGTTGAAAAATGTTTTCAGTTTTCTTGATCAGCAGGATATCATGGTCCCCACCGGCCGACTTGTGTGATTATGTATTTCAATGAGGATGACTAATTGTAGTGGTTTGAAGCAAAGTGATGCCCTCTAGAAAAGGTCTTTGGTTTGAGTTCTAGTATTTGTGTAGTGTATGTGAATTTAGTATGTTATCATCCCTCTCAATAGCAAAGGAGAAATATTTTTACTCACCACTTTAATTCAAAATGTACACTTACCCTTTTTTCTCAACACTTGACACGTGTCCATGAACTTAATTAGAGTGAACTTTTTGCTTATATTTATGGAACAATGATTATGCTCATGAATACATGTCAAATATTGAAAAATGTGATGATTATACACCTTAAGTTAAAGTGGTAAGAAAATTGTTATCTATTAATCAAGTTTACGTTTCAAAATTGGCCACACATTTTGTCCAAGCCAATTACGTGGAACAAGGTGGTGCGTGGCGGCCAAGCTCCGAACATTATAATTATTTTTAAATGGCAATCAATCTTGAGGCGCAAGAATAAAAAATATCAGTCCGTGCGTGGTGGCCAAACCATGAGGTGTCAATCTGTCCTAGTCAATAATATCCAATACCATCAATTGAATGTGGGATGGGAAAGTGCTGATAAGAATTAGCCTCATTTTTAGGCCAATTATCCCCTTAAAAAAATGTTGGCCTATATTATTATTATTATTATTATTATTTTTTATGGGTCATAATTTTACTGTGCTCGAATATATATTTTTTTATCTCAACAAGGAGTATGGCAATTGATTTGATTGTATAAAAGGTTTAATCCAATTGACCTATCTGTAAATGTCTCACAAACAATGCAATCCAAGCAGGTTATATTAGAACAGGAATATTTCCATAAGATCCAACTTTGTTAAGTAGATTTTAAATTTCAATCCACTTAACCCAACTGACCTGTCCAATAAAATTATGTCTGCAATCAAGACTTGTAACTAACCTGGATGCAAGAGTTAACAAATTCATGACAAGATATATATACAAACTACAGAAGATGTCACCAGCATATAGATAGATATGAACTAGAGAAGATGTCACCATTATCTCCTTTGCACTCCCAAACTCAGCAAGGAAATCACCTATATGAAGTTGACGTGCCAAGCCAGTTAAGGGAGCTAATACCCGAATGCTTGAGCTTTCAAGCATTTCTTGAATTTGTTTTCATTTAGTCATCTGGTCCAGATGGTTCGAGTGGATTTGCATACACCACACCGATATCCTGGAGAAATCACCGAATGAACAAACAAAAGAACACAACGGTAAGGGTCAACTTTTGCCCAGTGAAAAGTTCAATCAATTCTAAACTTAATCACTTTGTTACAAAATAGTCATTCATAGATTGCAGACATGCCACCGGCAAATTCAACTTAAGACAGGCCAAAAAAAAAACACAACATAACAGTTACTGAATTGACAGTGTTACAGATGATGATAACTTCTGGTCATCAATGTTAAAATATCACAAATTCAAAATTTTCATTTCACTGATATGCAGCAGTAGTTGACAGTGTTAAGTAGCAGCCCAAGACAATTTGTTTTGAAAACCATTTACACAAGAAGAATAATAAGTTCTAAAGGCCTTCATAGAGAGAATGCTTTCTGGCGATAAAGAATTCAATTATTTTTTCCACAACACAATGAACAAAACACGCACAAGCAATTGGCTAGAGAATGCAGCATATCATTTATGCTCCCTCTTTATTGGACAAGTTATCAAAAACCATTGCTTTGACAGTGTACATATGTGACCTCCTTTTTATCAGTAATAAAATTTTAACACACAATCAACCTACCCAAAACAGGAAAATTCTTTATTTTGCTATCAGTCAGATTTCTTAGTTAGAACACTTGATTGCAAATGCTAAACCAGCCCCCTCAATATAAATCATGCTCACTACTGCACTTAAATTAGTTTCATCTCACCCCTTATTAGACATTCAATAGATTCCACTTCGTATTCATATCCAAGACTTCAAATTAAAGACCGACTAACTTCAGCACAGTTAAGCAATGGCATATGCATATATTAAGGTCTATCATAATAAAACCAACACAATACAAATTTCGTTAACAAAGTAATTCATATAAAAACAGAGAAATTTAGAGCTGCAAATTACCACAAAAAACAAGGTTCTGATCCCTCCCAGCTCCTCCCTTTAGCCCACAAGCACATGACCCTTCTCCTTCTGTTGTGCCATGTACTCCTGAAGTCGCTTAGCTTTCTCTACCATTTCCCCAATGATCCCCTCCGTCTCATCAATGATCTGCTTCGGCAGATGAACCTCCAAAAAATCAAACCACTGGCCAAGTGTCATCTTCTCCAAGTCACAACTCTCATTAACACCTGAACCACTACCACTTCCATTGTCGCCCTTAACACCACTACTACTTCCATTGTCATCCTTGCCACCCCTCCCACTTCCATTCTCACCCTTATCACCACTCGTACTTCCATTGTCAACCTTATCACCACTCCCACTTCCATTGTCAACCTTATCACCACTCGCACTTCCATTCTCACCCTTATCACCGCTCTCTCCTCTAACATTAAACTCTTTACCAGTCTCTTCATGTTTCTCTTCCTCAAAATTCAGCCCTTTTGAAGCCTCATCGTCCTTCACATCAATTATTACACAGTCTCTCTTCTCAGGAACATCAGGTTTATCACACACCGGTAGCTCCTCTGGTACATTCTTCCTCCTCCTCGCACCGCCACGTGTCCTTTTCGGCTCATTCTTCATCTCTCCACCATCTACACCAGAATTATCTGGAATCTTCCCCAATTCCTCATTCTTTGAGCTCCGAGTTCGCCTCGTACTCATTTCCGGAACCAAATTTTCCTCCACCGGCTTCTCATCTTCAACCTCACTCTTCAAAACCCTGGCTTTGGGCGGTCGGCCCCGCCTTCGATTCCCTACGGCCTCAATCGCCTCAACATTTTCTTTCTCCAACTCGCGCTTTGCTTCGCTCCCCTTCGCAGCCCTACCTCTCTGGCCCCGACCTTGTGCAACCGACCCCACCGTAGTCTCCGCAACGACTGCGACTGCGGCACGCCTAGGGTTCCGTCTGAGGCGGCTCTCCTCGTAGCCGTCGATCTTCACGGTGATCGAGGTGTACTCGCCGATTTTGATTTCGTCGCCGTCGCTGAGGTCCAAGGGCGTGTTTGGGGTGACCTTGGTGTCGTTCAACAGGGTACCGTTTGAAGATTCGAGGTCTCGGAGCACCCATTTGCCTGATTCGGATTCGATTGAGAGGTGCTTGGAGGAAATGCCAGAGTCTTTGATCGGGAGGTTGTTTCCCCGGACGACGCGACCGATTCGGACCTTGGATCCGGGTCCGAAGTCTAGGGTTTCGCCCTCCCGCGGGCCTTGGACCATTATCAGCTTGAGAGCTAAAGGCTCCATTTTTTCGGAGAAGGAAGGAGGGAAAGTTTTTGAGTTTGAAATGCTTTTCAGAGTGAATAAACCGGTGAAGTTTGAGTTAGATTCCCCTATATTTTCTTTTTTTTTATTTCGTCCTTTTCTTTTTTAATTTACAATCTAGATCTATATTTTCAGACCAGAAAAAATATAAAACCAATATTTCATCAAAACAAAAAATCCAGAATGAAATAATAGACTGACCCGATTCAGCCCATTAAAATTGGGCTCATTCGTGTTTGTGCCAGCCCATTTAGTATGTGTTGTACTTGCGTAGGCCTAAATAATTCTATCCAAGTCCTGCCGCCCTCAAAGGAAGATGCTATAGAACTCAACCTCTGTTCTCAAAGTATATTGAACCAAGAAAGTATGAATCGGCGGAAATATCAAGGATTAGGGAAATACAAATAAGTATGGAAACGACTGCTTCCCTAATCAATCTTATTTCTGATTTTTTTTTTAATATTGGATTACAAATTTTAATGTAAAACTCATGTACTATTTGATTTCTTATGTGTTAATAATCATATAAAATGTCAAAAATCAAAATAATTTCAAAGCCCATAGTGAATACTCGTGCCATGAGTCGATACAATATTATAGATCTCATCTCATGTTAGAGATTCAAAAAGAAACGAAAAATTGTTTCATTTTAGTATTTACTATTAGACGATGGGAGGCCTAGTAGATTGATTGAAACAGTATAACACAAACTTTTGATTGAGCAGAAAGTAAAGTTGGGTCAACGGGGTCTAATCTAGTAGAGAAGGGCATTGACTTGCAGACCAATGGTTTCAACTTAGAACCCCCATGACACCTTGGTATAATGTGTGTGAGAACCCCTTTGTAGTTTAGACCATCGCTTGTATTCAAAAAATGAAGTAGAAAGTTGAGCCTCTCCTCTTCAACTGCACATGGAGACTGATTTACAGGATTAAGTAAGCATCTCAACACGTGGTATATATGGAGACCACTGGAAGAAGCTAGAGCCAGGTAAAGGAAAGAGCCTTCAGAATGTCTGACTTCTGCAATCAAAATTTGATCAATAATTTCTGATAGCTCTCCTGCTTCAGGGGTCTAGATCTCGAACAGGACGACAAAATCAATCTCCAACAAAAGACTGAATAAATAGAAGGGGAAAAAAAACATACTTAGGTTAAGGTATAATCATGCTAAATTTTATAACAATGCAGTGGAACAATATGGTTAAATGCAGCTTACTCATGAATATCCATAATCCACAAGTGTGCTAAAAAAAGTTGCTAGATTGAGCAGAGATGAATTCTCCTGGCTATGTTATTGGTCCAATTTGCTCCTGCCTTCCTTGGCAACAGACCCAATATGAAAGCAGTTAAAAATTGTCATTATTGCTTCATCACAACCAGATGACAAAAGGAGTGCAATTCATATCATAACAAAGCACACCGTGAGCATTTTTTTATTTATCAAGTACGTGATTATCTTTGAGAAAGCATATTTTCAGGACCAGCAAATGTTTCACAAGCCCTGGTTGCCTTTGTTTAGCAAAACCAGGGCAAACTGAAGCACAAATTTGAACTGGCGGCTAGTAAACTTTACCTACACTCATTTTCCACGCATCAACACAATTGAAACAGTACTTCATAATATGTCAATCACAAACTAATCTACTTCGCCAAAAGAGTTGCCAATCTCAATCTGTTTCTGCCACTCCCAGAGTTAGAATTTGAAATTCACAAAGTCATACTTGTAAAAGACGGTATATTCACAGGACATAGACCTTAAGTGTCTACTCGAGGAAAATTATACATAGAGTGTGGGTACAAGAGAAGTGTTCGTTTGTCAAGAAAGTTGTGTATAAAATTCATCCTTCCTTTCAATACGTGCTTCACAGCACACTCGGTTTTTCAACAAATAACAACTAAACCCCAAGGAAGAAAACGGCAAAAACAGATGAGTATGAGTTGGTAACAATCTAAATGCCATTCAGAATTTTTCATGTTATAGCTGTGTGCTGTGTACAAGGTAAACTTACTGTGAGTGCAAAATGCTCAGTCATTTTGGTGTGGACGAGGGATGATGTCACAAAAACTTCCAGGTGGGGCGCATGGCCCTTGTCAAAGGCATTCCAATCTCCAAGACACCCTTCATCCATTTAACCCGGTTTACAAGTTCCTCCAAGTCTAAAATCGCAGCTTCTAATGTATCAGAGCTCATTGAATTTAAAACTATGCTTTGATCTGTTTTCAACTTCTTTAAGGACCCATTGTTGTCAACTCTGTCTTTCCCAGTTGTAGATCTCCCCATCCCCTTTGATGCATTTTTAATATGCGAACTTGAAACACTATCTGAGCAACTCGTCTTCCCAATCCCACTATCTGCCATATCAGAATCAACATTTGTTTCTGGTGTGGGTGTCAACTTTGCTGTTATAGCACCTAAAGGTTGCTTTGCCATTTCCTCTAATCCATCAAGAGGTTGCAATGAGCTAGCAGATACTTGAGAAGAAGGATGTGATGCTCCAGCAATAGCTTGGACACCCCTTCTTCCATCACCTACAGAATGGGCTGTCAAGCTTGAAATGCCCCCTGCAACAACAATATAATCCTCTCTCAATCAGATCAATTGTGCTATTAATTGCAGTTCCTGTTTTAAAAAAATATATTTAAAGGCAAGATTCAAGAGCAAGAAGCAAGTTGTTATGGTTACATTTGATTGCATTATGCACACTACAATAGAAGTGATATGAAACCTGGTGCCAGACAACTATACACTCACCAAAAATTCCACCACAATATTCTTATAGTGCTTGATGTTCGGTTTTTCTTCTCCTACTATTACTTTTTTTAAGCTCAACATAGACTTTTTCATTATTCATTTCAAACTCTTGAAAATTTTATCTGGTTTCACTTCTCCCATGTCAATCTTAACCAAGGAGGAGTTGAAACCAATATCTATATGACGTGTGTTAACTGGATAATTATACAAGAACTCATAATTTGCCTTTAACATCACACAAGCCTATACAGAGACTATAAGGTGTAACTACAGTAGCCACATGCTTAAAACTGCTGAACTTTCACCAGGCCTGGACAAGTAGTATGAGAAAAGCATCGCCAAAATGTGGGAAGACTAGTTTGGCTTAAAGCTTTAACTAGCCTCTGTACAGGATCCACCTATTTTAGTCTTGTATGTGTATGTAACTGTTTCCTTTCCATATGGTCCACCCAAAAAAATATATATATTAAAAAAAGCCTCTACTTGAGCAATATGAAAGATAAAATCAATAAACTATGGATACTATTCAAAGTTTATATTAACTAATTACCAGATCTTACTATATTCAAAGGCAAAGTATTAAACTCCTTATAAAATGGTTAAAATCTCAATATTGTTGAGTGGCATTTGAAACTCCCTCAAGCAGCATTGACAATCCCCAAAGCCCACAAGGCTGGGGAAGATGCATAAGTGTTGCAAATGCTTAAGTTTCCAGAAGGCACCACATCCCATTGAATTATAAAATTGGTTCCAGTTCTGCTATCTGATTTGATCTTTCTTTATCTTTGGTTGTTTAATAATTGACCAGGTTAGCAACTGGCCAACTCCAACAAAGATCAAATCACCACTCAGTCTTATGGACATTGTCATTTTAGAATAGTCGATGTTCCAATGCCTTGTCAGAACTCACATAGATATTAAGTTTAAAAAAAGGGTTTAAAACACAATGTACAAGTAATCACCTCTAATGGCTTCAATTTAATTTTATATCAGCCAGTTGTTGCAAGCCCTAGATTTTGGAGTCAGAAGGATAAAAACAACATAATACCATGCATAAGCTTGCATATATGTTGTTGAGCAGTGAGAAGTAAAATGTGCATCCGTACCTTGATTACCAGGCTTCATTACTCGAGCACAAGGACGCCCATTTTCACTCTCCTGCAACCAAAAAAGCATTCCAAATAATTTAGAAATAGAAGGATAAAATAATTGTTTTCCTTTTCTTAATTGAACATAAAGCATCAAAACCTACACGGCAGAGGAACCACCAAAACTGACAAGGCAGAAGTAGCTTTAATACTTCAATACCAAATTGAAGAAAGAATGTTAACATGGGTGACAAAATGCATTATTGGTTAGCCAAGGATTGTGGCATTTATCATCAATCAGGAGCCCATGATGGCAAGAAGTAAGAATTGCAGAAAAAAATAAACAGAACATAAATAATTAAAAGATATGACGTATTGTTCCGACAAAAAACAAAAAAAGAAAGATGTGTTATTTTCAATAGAAGAATACTAGATGCAAGGTCAATGCCAAAAGTTCAACACCAAAGTGACAACGTGAGAGAGAAAGAGAGCTCTCAGTAAAAACAAAAAAAAACAATATATATATATATATATATATATATATATATATATATATATTGTAACTTCACAAATGATTTCATGCATGGCACTCATTAGTTAAGTGCCTTTTTTCCGGAAGTGCCGCATCATCATCATCATGTGATGGGCATGTGGACAACTGACAATTCAAGCTGATGGACAGGACAGGATTATTCAAAATAAACGAACATCTCATTTTCGAGGTAATATCTGATATTTCAGCTCAAACAAAGTTTTACATAACAAAACATAAACAAAAAACAGGAGAAAAGATACAGATAAATGAATGGGCTGTAGGTACCGTTGTGGGTACTGTCCAACCATTTTCTGGAGACCAATCCAAGGATGGGCGCAAGTCCTTGCAAGAAACTTCATAGGAACATCCTTCACCAACAGGAGGAGGCGGCAACTCAATCTGGGAAAAAATAGAGAACACCAATTATTAAATAGAAGCAAAGCATCTCCTTGACATCAAAGTAACTATAGTTGAACGAACAAGTGCAGCTAGTACTCTATTGCACTAGATAAAAATAGCGCATTCCCCGACCCAGTAATGACATATGTGAATTTAGCGAAGAGCTCAAGAAAAATCATGTATAGCATGGTTTTGTAAGGACTCAATGACTTCGGCTATGTTTAAACAATCTACAGTGAATCAGAGGTCAAACAATTGGTTTGTAAAAATTGGAGTGATAACAGTGTAGA